AACTATTACGACTATACAGAATATTGCAGCAGGGATTTTCTTTTCGATAATTTTAAATTTTAAAAAAATAAATAAATATTATTACCTATATTGTATTAGAGTATTAATAATTCAAGTAATATATTCGTATTATTGGATTTTGAAATTTTAATTTTAATCATATTGTTATACACTAAAATTACGTATACGAAAATTCGGGCGTACATTATGGTTATTTTTCATTTCGTTTAGAACGAAAAACTATTATTTCTAGTAAAAGGGTACATTCGTCGTTAAAAAATTGTAACTTAAAACAGCTATTACTGCACTTGTCGAATAACACTGCAAAACTTCCTGTGCGCGTCATAACACAACAATAGTATGTAACAATAATATAAATGCACCGGGAAGTTTGATAACAACGACTGGTGCACGTAAAACGTAACACTATAAATTATATTGTTCGCGTTTCTGGTTCGAAACGTTGGTGTTCTCGCGTCAAATCCGATTATGGTGCCGTTAACGACTTGAGTCGTTTGGTCTGCCGTCTAAACGTGTGAACCACGCGCGCGAATCGTTCTCCGTTGCACCGCGGCTAGGACGAAGGAGTAATGCGCGTACGCACGACGGACGCATCGCGGAACACTGCTCGAACAATGGACGATTGCTGCCACCGCCCGTCGAGATATTATTATTATTATTATTATTACGACCGACATAAACGTATAATAATAATATTACGCGCGATCGCCTAACCCGGTTGTTGTTGCGCAAGACCAGAAGAAGGAGCTTTGTATTTATCTATTTTTCTCATCGCCGTTTTTAACCGAATCCGGTTTTGCGTCCTTCGAAGTATTCCCTTAAGCTCAGCTACGTGAGAAAGATCGTTTTCTTCTATGAGGCGTATCAAAAATTGGTTACGAATGTAACGGAGCACGCGCTCAGACGAAAATGTCCCTTTTCAGGGTCACCAAGAACATCATTGTGAGATGTAAAACGGCATGAAGACAACTAATACAGCGGAGGAATAGTGTCATTCTACATCGTCGACTAAATCGATAAAAATTCAACTAATGAAAATGGAGCATCAATGTCCGATTGGGTATATATACCGGTCACTTTTCGGAGCATCGATACTCCATTTTTCCATTCACAACGGTCAACATCCAAAAGATAAGAAGAATAGAAGCACCCGACGGCAATTACGACGACGGCTGCGACGAATACGACAAAGGCAATTGTGGCGTTCACGGCAATCTCGTATAAGGCGACGGATACCTCGACGACTGTACGGCGGCTGTGGCAACCACGGCTGTGAAAAACAACAATGAATAGGACAACCACGAATCCGGCTCCAGCGGCATTTACACGTGGGGCTCCGCGATTCGCGGACCTATTCGTCGACACTAAAAACGACCCTTCTCAGGACCAATATCCGTACAAACCTTTCCGGCGCACTTACACAAGTGTCCGCTGGTAAAGTGATCACGGTCGATACGCTTGGTTGCTTAAGTCTGCTGTCGACCGTGTATTCAATTCTTTATCGCACCTGCTCAGGTCCACCCGCCGCGGCCGCTTATTCGAGCCAGCCACGCGGCCCGGAATAATTTTATTAAATTAATTGTGTATTACTTTTATTTAATGTTAAATAAATAACTTGATATTTATTTCGTGTACATTTATATAAAGTTCCGAGTGTTGATAACCACGGCAAACCCTTTCACGAACCAATATGTTACAAGATCGTTTTACGAATTTGGCTGTTCCGAATATTCAGAGAGATGTCTATAACTATAAATACTGAAGATATTTCAGAAGTGTACTGTACTAAAGATGAAAAATTTGTATTAAAACAAAACTAAAATTTTAGAGTTTAATTTGTATATATATATTATTAACTTGTGGACTACGGTAGATTTGTTTGGTGGGGGAGGGGTAATGAGGGCTAGCCTTATTAAAATATAAACGGAACCTATAATATTTAGTAATGATATTTGTATATAATTTTGTCTGTATTTAAATTTATTAAATAAAAGTTTGGGGGCATAGCTGCCGCTGGTCTATGTAGGCTTTTCGCTAAAAAGCCCCCTAAAAAATAATCCCTACTTGCGCCAATAACCACCACTGATTGCGTGATAAATATTTTTCAGTACGAAACCATTTCTATATCGAAAACTCGACGTGTTTTTCTTACGGGTTTTCGTCAACGATTCTACTAAAATAAAACGGTCTGAAAAATCTTCCGTAAGAGTCGGCGGTTATCTCGGATATTTTCTTATCATGCGATAACTATTTTCAAACAATGCAGTTCATCAAAGATAAAGAAAAAACAAAAATATAAAAGTTGTGTTCGCGTTCAACACCTTGTGATTGTAGGGTTACGAAAATCAGGTGTTTAAAAAAAGGAAAAAATTATAAAATTGATAAACAAAGCCAAACATCTTACATCTTACAATTCAGAGTTTCAAAATGTTGTATCAGAAAAACTAAATAAAATATAAACCCTATTTAAGATATTTTAACTTTGACAGACAATTTTACGATCAACGTTGTTTGAAAAAAATGGTTTTAAAAAAACATTTCTTAATTCCCATGACATACATTTTCATTCCTTTATTTTAATTTCTAAAAATACTACTTTGAACCATAATTCAACAAATATTGAACAAATATAAATAGAAATAGAATAAATAAAAAAATAAAATGTACGCAACAGTATATCGGAATATCCGAAAACGAAAAAAATAAAATAAAATCTTAAAATTATATTTTTATTTTCGATCCAAGATAGTAATCCTACATTTTATATAGGTACACGCTGTCGAGTTATGTTCTTCTGCGTGCGGGCCGGTACATATGAATGCGCATTACTACCACGGCCATAGGTCAAAGTATGTTTTTTATTCTACACGACCACGTGGTTTGGGTCTTTTTTTTTCTTTACTTTTACGATGCAACGGGTGAAAACGTTAAGCAGTAGACATGTATTCACACGCGATTTCATATGCACATCATTTACTTCCTGTTGACCTACCACTGCGCAGTTGATTTTCGGTGTCGATACGACGACACGACACGAACCTGACGAGAGAAGTTTTTTATCGCGAGGGGATGATCACGCGTTCTCAATCGTTCGATAGTCTTCGGAACGCTGATGTCGTTTCGTTGTGTCCGCAGACGAGCAACGATGACGCGTAAGGGCACAATCCTTACGTCCTAGTTTTCGAACGATTTCGACGTTTCGATTGTTTATGCGTTACACATTTTTTCTGATGTGCATTAATTTTATTTCTTATCCACGCGGCGCGTCAATTCGTACGTTGTTGATTCGACCATTCGATTGTCCGTAAATATTTGTCATTCGATTCTCATTTTCGTTCTACCGATGTTTACAGCTTTCTGTCGGTTAAAAAGACCATTTAATATCCGTATAGGTTCGAACGAGCGTGACGTGTAAGCAGCATATGTACATTGTATAATTTATGTATAATGTATGTATTTTCGTATCACGTACCTACTACAAACAAACAACGAAGCGTAAACAGTTCACGCGATGTATTCTATCTGCTCGAACGTTTTATACATTCATTAATCACACTATGCAGCGCAATATTTGCGCGTTTAACTACTTGTGTGAAGTTTGCCCCCCCCCCCCCAATTTATCATATTAATACAAAACGTGCGCCAAAAATTAGCAACTAATCTGGAACTATTTGCAATGAAAGTTTCATAATTTGAATACAATATAATACATCTCTAACTTGGGGGGGGGGGGGAATTTCACATACGTCGTTCAACTATTCTAAACTAATAATGTTATTATGTTTATTTTTCGTACGTTATTAACGATTTACAATGTCCATGCTTTCCTTAGAAGTATAACACTTATATTCATATAATATAATAGTGTATCATGGAATGAAAATTAGATATTGTTAGGCCGATCGTTTGTAATTTTGTACGATTAACTTATTAAAATATACTCAAATTTGATAAGAATTCAAAAAAAAATTTTTTTTAACAATTAAAAATTATTAATTTGGAGAAATCCAGGAATGACCTACATCATTAATGACAAACAATTTACTAGTACAAAGTAAGTAATTATTTTGACTGAGAATTACTACAAGTGTTTAAAAAGTACATAAAAATATTTAAATTGCATCACGCTTTACTGATTTTATTTTGTTTTTAAAACGAGATTAATATATGCAATATACTCGACCATGTTAAAACGGGTTTTACATATCTTATATTTAATGTTTGTAAACTAATTATATATAAAAACTTTATTATAAAAAGCGAATAAGTTTTACTTGAACATAAGGTTAGTTTATATTGATTACAGTAAATCATATACAATAATTAATGCCACATCTTCATTAAAAAATGTACGATCTCAGTGGAATAGCATTTTCAATAATGATATCATCGATGTGTTATTTTAAAAAAAACCAAAAAAAAATAAATAAATATTAATGAATTTGACTGTATTTAAATCGTATTAAATACACAATATTACTACACTTGGTTTGATTCCGAGGACAACCCCTCAAGTTACCGTCACCTCGACCTGTACGGATGAAACCGAGTAAAAGTTTGAATCGGATAATAAATAAAGCATCGCGTAGCATCGACGTTCGTGCGAGGTCTCTTAATGCTACACATATACTATTATTATTATTATTATTTTTTTTTTTTTAACAAACTCGGTTCCCATCGGAGTTCTTACCTTCTCCCGGACGATCTGAAGAGTTATTGGTTTGTCGTGACTAAGTAACCACCTCGCGGCACGAAATCGTCCCAAAACAGCGCAATGTTGATTCAAGTCCGATGGATTATTTCTTTTCTTTCTCCTCTCCACCACCATCGCACATCTCGATCTTATGGATTTTATCAATCGTTATTTATGTTCTCGTATATATATATACGAATATATGTGTGCGTGTATATATATAAATATCCTATCATGTAGTAAATGACATGTTTTGATCGAAAAATAACAAAACAATTTGCTACAGGTCAAATTACCGATACCAACCAAGGAAACCCTACCGCAAGTAGCTGAAGTGTTGAAGGCGGCCGCGTACTTGGACGATAACGATGGATTGGAGAAAAACTTTGAAGGACAGCGGAACAGTTATAAGAGGTCGCCCAGAAAGCTGGGAACCGATGCTCTGGACAAGGGTTTGGAACAACAAGAATATCAAGGTATTTTATACGTCATCATCACGTATGATATAATTATCATTTTTATTATTATAAATTATTACCATAATTTCAATTATTATTATCATCATCATCATTATTAATTACTACTATACTTTGTCATATTGTCCGCTTTGTTGACAATAAGAGTATAATATTTTGTACAAACGTAAGTACATAACGGCGTGACTAGAGACGTTAATATATCCCATGTTTGTTGTAGGAGTAGTGGGTCGTCCCGGCGTTGACTTTCCAATACTGCCTTCAATACCTCAAACGGATTTCAGTTGTAAGAAGGTGAAGAAACCAGGATACTACGCGGATCCCGAGACCGACTGCCAGGTATAATATAATATTACGTATTTGTAGATAATTTACTTTTGATTCGTTTGAACGCAGTTATTTTTTATTGTTAATTAATTAACTGCAATTGAAATCACATAGTAAACAGTCCAATGTAACAAGTTATATAAATTTGAAAATTAAAATTATCCATAGTGACAAACTGAAAAATCAAAATACTTTCCTTACGCATAATTAGTATTGCAATCGAAAATAATTAATCTGAATGGGGTTTTTTTTTTTTGGGGAGTTTCTCACTGTTAAATGCCTATGATATACGCTCAATTCATTAAAAATAATGTTAATGAATTTTTTTTTCTTTAGGTGTTCCACATTTGTGACAACGGTAGAAAAGTATCGTTTTTATGTCCAAATGGTACGGTTTTCCGCCAATCGCATTTGATTTGTGACTGGTGGTTCCGAGTGGACTGCGAGAGATCAATCGAGTTGTACGAAGAGAGTGCGGAACAACTGGCGTCTGACCAAAGAGTTTTTCGAGAACGTTCAGAAGCGTTGACCAAAGCCATGTTGAAAGTACAGACAACGCAAAAAGCAGATGATCGCGTTGTAACGGAACGTTCATTCGGACCGAGCACGACAATTTTCAATTCGGAAAGCCGGCTGCCCGAACGGGCCAGATACTTCGATGGATTTTCGAGGGACGAAAACCAAGTCCCCGCTGAAACGGCTTCATTCGTCGGCAATCGATATCAGAACAATTTCAATAACAATTTCCAGTCCAAAACGCCTGTAAACAACTGGAACCAAGGTGACTTCCAACCCGATAGTTATCGAACACAAACCTCACCGACGACCGCTCAACCGACGTGGAACCAACAACACGGTGCCAACAACAATTACCAAAGCAATTCTTATCAAGCTCAGTCAACGGGTGCGCCGGCGCAGGCCACTTGGAACCAAGCTGCCAACGGCAATAACTATCAGAGCAATTATTATCAAACCCAGTCCACGACCGCAGCAGCGCCTGCCTGGAACCAGGCAGCAAACGGCAATGGTTACCAGACACAGTCTACTACGGCCGCGCAACCGTTTTGGAACCAGGTTGCCAACAACAACTACCAAAGTGGGTCATATCAAGCGCAGTCATCGACCATTGCACCGCAACCGTCCAACGCTCAGCCCGGTAACAATTTCCAATCCGATTACCGACCGCAGTTCACCGCAGACGGTCAGTACGTTCAGAACCAAGTTGTAACCGGTTCGCAAACGACTTATCAGCAACAACCCACTACCGCTGCCGCGTCGCAGACAAACTGGAGTCAGGACAGCATTAACTATCGACCTGAAGGCTATCAGACCTCGTCTACGACCGTTGGAGCCCAAACCAACTGGAACGGCCAAAGCACCAACAGTTTCCGGACGGAAAACAATCAGTACCGTTCGCCGACGACAGCGCAGACTACCGTTTGGAATCAAAGCAATAACTATCGAAATCCATCCACGACAGACGGAACCCGGACCAACTGGGACGGTCAAGGGGTCAACGGTTTCCGAACGGAAAACTATCAGACGTCTTCGACCGTGACGCCGAGACCAGTGGCAGTGGGCTTGGACGAGCAGGGCCAACAAAAACGGGTGACGACCGCCGTGCCGCAAATCGATTGGAACCAGGCGGTGAACAACGTCCAGACAACCGGTTACCAGCAACCGGAATCGGTGACGACGGTGCAACCGGACTGGGGCCAAGAGTTCTCCGATACCGTGCAGCCGTCACAGCAGCCGACCACGGTAGAGTACGAGCAGACCACGCCGCCGGCCAAAGAGAGCCAAGTGCTCGCCGAATCCGCTTCCTTCGTGGGCAACTCGGCTCGGTTCAATTTCCGACCGGAGAACTATTACGCGCAGACAAACCCACCACAAACCTCGTGGCCGGCCACCAGCTCACCGTTAGCCAATGACTATTCACCGAGCGGCGCTTTCTCGTTCGTCGAGTACCAAAGGTCGCCCGACGCGCCTGTCGCCGGAAACGGCCCGACCCAAGCCCCACCGGTCGCTACCGCGGTGTTCGATTACAGTAATTCGACGTCACCGCCGTCGTCCGGCGAGACGCTCATCCCGAATATGATCAACTCGTTGCAAACACTGACCGACAACAATCTGATATACGACCTGGACGGACAAAACGGTTACCCGTCGCAAGCAAACAACGACGACGATTTGAATTCCGTGGCTGTATATTTCAACCGGTTAAGTACTCCACAAGCGTCTACTATCGCTAGCGATCTGCAGTTCAATGATATGGAACAAACGTCTAGATCGTATTCCAACGGTGTCAGTTCTGCTGGTCCCGTCGAGGCTACTACACCGATGGAATCCCTACACATACCGGCGGTTTTGACGCAGAACACGAAAGAAGCGTACGACAAGCTCTTCAAAAACGACACTAATAAGGAACCGACCGTCACTATTGCGTCATCGAACTCCGGTACAACCACTACGCCCAGACCTAACGATTCGGCAAACGTTGGATTTGCTCAGGGATTGAATTTAAACCGTTCGCCAGCAGAGTTAAGGGAACTCGCCGCGGTATTCACACGTGCTCTAACTTCGTACTTGGACGACCCGGAGAACTTCCGTAAAATACTGGCTGAGGTAAGGCCAACCGAACCGCCGAGTGTGAAGACTACCGTGACGGAAGAACAAGAAGTCTTGGACTTTTCGGATGACTCGAAAAGCCATCGGAGTAAGCCAACGGAACCGAGCTCAACGAGTCCGAATTTGGCAGCCGAAATCAATCACATGCCACACAGTATTAATGCGCTGGCCGACTTGTCGACCACGATTCCGCAATACACGTCATCACCGTTAATAGACATCACGTCAAAGTATACAGAAATACCGAACGTCGCCGGTCTACAGGAGTATTCACCTCCCGAGGACAGCGAACAGTTACAAGTAGCCGGAAGTCAATCGTTTTTTTCAAGCAGAGATAACATCGTTGAGACGGCGAAAACTCTCAAACCTGCGGCAACCTCTACATTAACATGGACAGTGTCACCTATAATAGACACTGAACCGGAAGTAAAAGGTACAACTCAATCACCTGTGTACTTCACTACCACCGCGGAAAATTTAGAAACTACCGTCATTGTACAGAGGGCTAAAGAAATGTTCAGCCATTTGAACGCATCTGACGCTGGGATGTTGATGAACGTTATGAATACTGCTCAAGCTAATGATACAGTTAGAAGGTAATAATAACTCTAATAATACAATCATTAAAATAATATTTTACTATCGACTAGATTCGATAAAATTATAAATAATGCAGTGTCGAACTTACACATAAAATAAAACTACACGAACAAAAATTATTACTTTTTATATTATAATACCTGTAGAAGTTTTTTTTTTATTTTTATAAGAAATTTACAATCTGTTCTTAACTAGAAAAATAAGCGGATATACGTCAATAGATAGCAGATAATTGATAGCGGTGAATTTATAGCGCGTAAATTGATCGCGAACAACTTTTAATAGCATGAAATTTTATAGCACCCTAAAGAATTAAATAACCAAACAATTATTAAAAAAAAATATATTATAATAATAAATATTGCAAGCCATAATTAAGACTAAGCTGCCTAAAAATATTATATCTGTAGCTGGAAATTATGTACTATGCCTCTTAGATTGTCTTTAATTGTTCTATTTTCATAATCTAAACAAATATTTTGATTTTAGCACTCCGATCTTTAGAAATTTTTTGAGATGGTGGTTGTATCCCAGCAATATATTGCTCTATTTTCATTCTATTTAATTGCTCCTCTTTTTGCAACGCATTTATGAACTTCCATATTGCTGAGTGCGATGTGGAGTCCAGTTTCTTGAACGTGACGCCATACATTGTGATAAATGAAAAAGTCCATCATTATATTAAGTGGGTTTAGATTAGATATTAATGATTTTAAAGCTTGAAACATTAATTTATATGTATTTTCATTTTTATCGGGTAGTAAAATACACGCAGAAGGAATAACAATCGAATAATAAACAGCATTAATAGTATAAAGTTGTTTAAATATTTGAGGAGCATATTTCTTATGTCACAAAACCAATCATCACAGTTAACCATTAATTCGAGGTTCCGTTTTGTACAGAATAATAGAATTCGATTTGTCTCATATCTGTTATCAAATTTTAAAAGTTGCTCACCGTTCTTTGTTTTCATGAATCGGTGTGGAAATTCAAAATTAAAATTTTGAGGATTATTTGGGACTTCTAAACGAGAATGACGAACTCGCCGAACGGTTCTTTTTAAATTTGATACGTTTGGTAATTGTCCTGCAACTGAAACAGATACCTTAATTATAAAAATAATATTAATAATAATAATAATAATAATAATAACATTTACAGAAATAATATAGTATGTACCTGAGAAGCAAGTGTTCCAATGACTGAATGCGTAGAATTAGATGTACATTTTTCATTTATTTTTATTTAATTTACAGCAATTTTAACTTCAATTTGAGTTATATCAGGGACATGGTTATGGTCAATTTTTTTTGAAATTTTCTAATTATCGATATCACCAATAACATGAACGCGGCTTCGACATTTATTTTTAAAACGTACGCATCTCCATATTTTCTTTTATACTCCATTTTTTTCGAAATGGTACATAAAACCTCCATAAACTAATATATTTGAACCTCTTTCACTTTTTATATATTTTAAAAACATTTTAAAATTACTATATTATAAAGGTAATTGTTAGTAGTAGTACTGTTGTATGGTGTTGTACCGACTGACAATTGATATAGTGTATAGAATAGGTATTAGTGTCGGTATTAAATAGTCTCATTATCTATATTGCCCATATTATTTTAGAAAGTAATATGAAGTTTCCGATTATGATATATTTTATCGGTTTTATTTGGTTTTTTGGTTTTTTTTGGTTAATAATTGTTTGATTATTGAATTCTATACGACGCTATATATTATCAAAAGTCGTTCGCGATCAATTTACGTGCTATAAATTGACCGCTATCTATTATCGCGCCATCAATTATCCGCTATCTATTGACGGGACTCCCAATAAGCAAATGTGCAACCTGTAGAAGTAAAAATAAAAGACGCATACTAGTTGCGGACGAAATTATTCAGGTCAATATTAACATAACAATTGCGGACACGTTTTTCGTTATCATAATACTAGTTGCATACAAAGTTTTTTTTTAATAAAAATATTTATAAATTACTGTTATTATTTATTTATTTTTTGTGATAGGTTTTATAGTTTTTGTGGCAAAAATTTTTTTGAAACAGCCTGTATAAATCATAATCTATTGATTTCACCATTTGAATATTGCAACATTTGTTTGCTAATAATATCCTTCTTTTCGACAGTTCTTTTGGTTCGTTTTAAATTTTTTACAGCAGTACAGTTCATTTTAGTATAGCTACCAGTCTGTACTTCATTTAAGGATCGATCAATTGATATATATTAGGGTGGCGCGATAAAACATACCATTAATACCATTAAGTTAAGCATGGAAACTTTCACAAGCATTTGTGGTTCATGAAGTAGATGAAGAAAATTCTGCTCATATTTCTGGAGAAAACTATACATTTTTCAAAGACGACAGATATTAAGCAAGCACGAGTAAGGTTGTCGCTAAACTGATTAAACATATTTTTTGACAGCCATCTCAAAAGCACCGGCACAATCTTAATTTTGATAAATAATCAGTCCAATAATGTCATAGGGTTATATACATCGTCAATATTAAGTAGTTTATCAGTAATTATTATCAGTAATTTCCCAACGTTTGGAAATTTGTACGCAATTAGTATGAAAATTTGTGTCCGCAAGTCGCATGGTTTTTATGGCTTTGTCCGCAACTAGGAAACACCGAAAATAAAATATGATTATAAATGAATGGTATAAAAATACGTTGTCGTAAAATAAATTATTGATATCTAACAATTGAATTATAAAAACAAAAGAAGTATTACACTTTTTTCGATTTAACGAATATGTGATAAATTGTATTTTTAAATCCACGTGCGTTATACCACACCAATTCGAATTGTCATTAGTTTTATCAATCTAATAAATATAATATAATAAATATAATAAACCCTGGGTATGTATTGAATGTGACTGGGTATTGATTGGCCTGTATAGAAATAAAACGTTCCCAGCGGACAGTTATTAACGTTTCTTTTGCCTTACAGATTAGTTTTACTGTTGGTCAACGACCCAAACAAGGAAAACAGCCCGGAGCAGACTAGAAACAATATAATCGAAGCACTACTAGACAACAGAGGTTCTGATAAAGTATACGTCACCTCGTCGTCGACCACTACGTTCTTACCGTCGTCCACGTCAGGAATTCCATTCGGCCAGAGAATACAGGAAGATGGCTCACCGGTTTCGGACGGGCAGTACAAGAAACCCAGAAAAGGAACTAGGAGAAGGGTCGTGAACAGGAGCAGATCGCTACCGGTCTCTACGACACCGATGATCCCGAACACCTGGCAGGGAGCCAACGACGTGGGTCCTACACTGGGTACCGACTCCGATGCTCGAGCAGTTGAACTCCTCAAGTCCCTGTATTCGATCGCGTCCAAATGGTCGTAATCGGACGTGCAACCATTGACGGATTTTCCGTTCTGCTTGTGTCATAACCATGTGCAAATCAAATTATTTACGAATCGTTTTTATAATTTTAATATCTTAAGTATTACGTCGTGTAATCTAATCGGGATTATAAAAGAAAAAAATGTACGTAGAAGTCTATTAACGGTCAATATTATTTGAATTTTCTCCATGGACACAAAGTGTCTCGATAGGGCGTTTGCGAATATTCAGCACAATATAACACAACAATGTTATCTCTTGAATAACAATACAACTGTAACCGTTTTTAATACTTGATATTTCGTTAAAATTAACATTTTTGGAACAATATTTTTTAAACAGTATTATTTGTTTATTCCGATTAATTAGTCTTACGTTTTTAAGTTACGTAATGTGTTCAATCGCAATCATTTTTCGTTATTTATTAATATCCATCTTTTCAAAACTAAAACTTTAATTTTTACCGTTAAATTAGATATTTAAAGCCAACCGAAAATTAATATACTGACTATAAACTTCAAGACGTGTAAATAAAATTCGATCCTGGTAAGGTTTAGAATTTATCATTTTTCTCCTCGCAAACAACGTAACAGTAATAATTATTTAAAGCATTCTTAGAAATTTCCAAAATGAAAAAGAATGATCACCACCTGAGATAGCGTGGAATCGATGAACGTTCTGTTCAAAAAATCAATAAACCCAAAATTACTACGCAAATCCCAAAATCATTTACCGTTAAAATTAAAAGTGTAATTATTTTTGCATTTATATTATCTATTTATATCGTTAGTTATTGTACACGCACACGTCTAGTTATAATCTGTCATGTCTATGTGGTATTAATGTATTCTATTTAGAAGTAAGTTGCCATCGCCTAGTACAGAATATTATTAATAATTATAAATGTCTCGGCAATACGCATTATGTAAATTGACTCTAGTCCTCGGCGAATTGGTGTGTTACTGTTTTAGAATTAAGACTTTTTCGTGTCTTGTACACGAAATTATATTATATCATTAATTTGCTAATTGTAATTTGCTCATATATCAAAATTAGATTTCTGCTAAGATTTGATTTTCAATTTGATTATTAACTACATTTTTAGCAAGTAGTTTACCAATGTTATATTATATTGGATGGTCCAATTTAAAATTACTTTTATTATTTATCTTGCACTCAATTTTTTTTTTTTTTTTTTTTTAATACTATAAATTAATACTTTTATCTTTATTAAGTGTACTCAGATTTCTTGCATATTGTACATTAATAGAACTGATTCAGTAAAGTATCCTGAAAAACAATCAAAATACTTAATTTATTTTACAAAAATGTCCAATTTTATTCATCAATATTTCGTTGTAATTCTTTTTAACCCTTAATATAATGAAAATATTAAGGAATTCGTTTACGTTTTACTTTTCTTCCCAGAAAAATCTTTGACAATCCGTATAATCAAATAGAATTATGATGTATTTTTATCCTTTTTTTTTTATTTTAGAAATCTGAGTATTCTAATATTTGTATTATTATAACTATTTTTTACGTAAAATTAATTTACTTAGCTTTTTGATTTTGACTAACGTCGAATTGTTTCAATTTTCACCATAGCTTCTGATAATATTGTATTGTATTCCAATAATAATGTGTTTTTATCACTTTTACGTGTAATATGTGTGTTATCAATCGTTTAACTGTTTAGCATATTTATGTATAAGTTGCGTGTATACGTGGTCGTGGTGCAACGTATACAGTAGATACTTAATTACACGCGTATCAACTAATTCATATAGATATTATAACAGTAATTAATTTTATATTTTAATTATTCACTCAAGTTAACATTTGAGTTCATTACATGCCATGTAATAATGTTATAGCATTATGTCTTATGTAAATTGCATAATTTGTAAATAAAACAATAAAATCATTGTGTTAATTCAGTAAAAATTAAACTTGTGGTACACATCATTGCCGGACTCAGCAGGGATGCAGGGGGTGCAATGCACTAAGGTGCTTATTTGTTTTGCTATTCCGTGCTCTTATTTTATATTTATTCATTGTAATTCATTCAACGTTAAACAGCTTTCAATAGTTAATTTATGAATCAAAATGTCTAAACGTTTATTTGAAAGCGGTGCAATACTTGAAATATTTCATTTTTGAAAAAGGAGCTATTTCTTTATGGGTCTCTAAATGGTATTTGTACCCCAGCCTTCCGAGACTTAGATCCGGTACTGGTGCTTATTGCGTACGACTTTGTACTAATAATAGTGTTATCCCTCGTCCCTAAAACACTGCGTGTTATAGTGCTCGAAAGCATGATACATAAAAATCAGTGCCGATAGCAATAGTATGCGAATAAACGAAAGAAAAAAATACCATCTTTCACGAATAACTCGTGTTAGTACTTAAATACTAATATTTAGTTGACTTGAGCGTTAAAATAAGTATGATAAATTAAAAATTTTAATTTAAAATGAATAACCTCCGAAATTCTAATAAGATATGAAGCATATATTTGACTTGAATCGACATGTGTTCAACATATCGTCGCCTCATTTCAAGATAGCAATAACTCAAAAATATTCAGAATTTAGTTATCTACGTGATATTATTTGCAAAATTACGACAATTTCAATTCTATGACGCAATAAATTTTAGTTGCATTATTCACCTCTAGAGGTCGTTTATTTCATTCTAGAATCAATAGTTTCATAATTTGAGTTATTGCAGTCTTGAACTGAGGCGTCGATATGTACAGCCGTTGTTTTAAGTCCACATATTTTACATTTGTACATCATCATGTTTTTTTGAGTTACTGTCCCAAATCAAATAAATGAACACTGATAAAATGTTTAGTTATAATTTTAACATGTTGATTAATAATTTAGTTCTTAACTTCTAGTTTTCAATGAATTCAGTGATTTTCGATAGTATTTATTTAAATCACTATTTTTAGAAGCTATACCAACCGACACCAACCAATTACAGGTTTCTATATTATTATATACATTATCTATTATATTTATGATTTATATGTATTGTAATAATAAATTAATTTTACCACTGCGCATGAATTGCGTCCCGACAAAGTTTAATGACATATAAAATTTGAAATTTATCCAAAAATCAAACATTTTTAAGTCTGTATGATATGATTAGAACTTAATGTGGGGGGACGCAAAGAAACTCGGTCCCTTTACCTGTTGCAGCGCTTATAAAGCGCATCCCCTTTAACATTTCTTCGAAAAATTTACTGAGACGCTCTAATAATCATAAGCAACAAAATAGTTGAAAAATTAGCTTTGAAATTTACTTGATGCCTTTAGATATTAAACAGTGTTCTAGAAAAAAAACTAAGTAACTCATATTAAATATAAATTATAAATTATACACTTATATATATATGTGTGTGTGTATATATATGATTTTTATTTTTATTAAAAGATATTTAAAATATATTATTTAAAACAATTAATTTATACATTTTTACAGCACATGAATATTTTGTGGAAGAAATTGTTCACTAATAACATCTTAGAATAAGTATACATATTTAAAATTAATCACCTTGTAATTTAATGGGAATATATGGAACGTTGAGAATGATATATGGATCAGAGTCCTTCCTGCCCTTCTTCACCACTTTAAACCCTGGACATAATCAACACATAGAAAGTTAATTAATAATATCCTAGACAATAAGTGAATGATACTAAAAAAATTCTAAATGTTTACTTCAATGTCGCGTATGAAACAAACATACAAAAATAAGCATAGATAAAATAAAGACCGATATAAGATCTTGACTAATTTTGATGAATTATATACATTATTTATTTATTTATTATTTCTGTCACAACTACGAGTATAATAACTGAACTACTAACTGTGGAAAATCATTTAAGAAATTGTCCAACATTTTTTATAATTGTGATGAAGTAGGCTTGTTATATATTATTATATTATATATTATATATTATTATTATAACCAGGCTTAAGCGAAGCTTAAGGTTTTGAAATAGTTTAATCAAAACTACTAACTGTTATATCCTGTTATGTCAAATGCGTTGTTTTGTTCAACATTGATTATATTAATTGTTAATTTATAGATGTATGAAAATTGTTTATCGTAAATAAGAATAATAATAAAAAAAAAATTAAATATGGAATAGATTAAATAGCAAATACATTTACTGAGAAAATTCTCCCAGACAAAAGTGTTCACTGTTATGCCATCGTTTACATTGGTCAACTAAATGTTATCGGAGCAACCATCTAAACGGCTGTATTCATTATTAAGAACAAAATAAAATAAAAACGCTTATAGTAAACGGCATTGGTAGTAGACCAATGATATCTCCATAGAAATGTCTACAACAGGACATTGTTAGACTTTAAATCTCAAGAATAAAACGGTAATTGTAAACAATTTATTCGAATCCTTTATTTGCTACTTTATTGCACGTGTTATTATTATTATTTTTTTATTGTCAAACGTGTTAAAACATTTTTTTTTTGTTTGCTGAGTTCCACAAAACATTACAGTTTTTGTAATCCTCTGTTAAGTCTAATGTTATTTGCTTGTTGCAGAATAATCTACGTCTACACACTAGTTGTTATTGCTGTAATAACATTTCTTTGATGTTGGTAAAGAAACCGACTAGTCATCGGAGTGGACGAGCTGAACCGTCGTACAGTGGTCCAAATCGTTATTTAGGTTGCCAAAAGTCTATTTTTAGAATTTAAAATTTATCAAGTAACACTAGTATGATATGATAATAATAATATGAGTAACAACTATGCATAATCCATATCTTGATCAAGAACTTTAAAGATAATGAGGATTGTAAAAATAAGTGTGAGTATGGTAAATTATTAATTGAATGTTGAACAACTTATCACAACAGAGTTACGTGTATCGTCGTACACAGGTATTTCAGAATTTTTTTTTGTTTGTGTATACATCAAGCATTAAGTTAATTTTTTCTTATATTAAAAATCAACTAGTAAGGAGTAAGTCATTCAATTATTTTCCAATATAATATATAAATTAAATGTTCTTAACAATGTAATATGATTTTTATTTTTTTACGTAATTTTAATTGAAAATGGGATTACAAAAAATGTACAATTTTTACACAACGATAATATATAGAAAACATGATATATTTGTGTAACCTTTAAAATACATAAGATTTATTTGCTTTTAATTGCCTGTGCATTTATAGTGTTTTTCTTATTTAAATACTTTCAATGGTGTAAATAGTGAAAAAAGTATTCCCATTTCAAATTCTGTTATTTTCAACTTATTAAGAAAAAGAGTACTACTTAATCTACAAAATATTAAGTCCAGACAGTATTTATACTATTGATTATACGGAAAATATCAAATGAATTTGAAAAATATTGATTTGAAATGATTAGATCTAATATTTCGTTATATCTTTGGTTTTACATATTTACAAGTGTCCGTACAATTTTTATTCATAATGCGAGTGTAGTAAATAATCTGCTTCTACTTATAGATATTTAAACAACTAAAAAAAATAAAACTGGTATTTTATCAAAAGTATTAACTATTCTAAGGAAAATTATCAGAAGAATCAGAAGAATGTTTATGGGCTATGAGGATTATGAGGTTTATAGAGAGCACACAAAAAATTTAAGATTACATTCAAATACAGATTTGTTTAATAATTTATCAGTTTCATGTGAATCACTAGTCTTCACTATTAGAAATATTCTTTCTGTCAATAAAAAAAAAGAAGCCAAATTATGTCAAAGCTTTACTAATATTTGTTTTAAGTTTAGAAGAAAATGATACTGCAGAATAATTCCAATTCTAACACTGAATAAATATTTTAATTTTAATTTTTTATTACATATTTATTATAAAAATAATTATTTATTTATATATTAAATATATTTAATTATGAGTAGACTTATTATCCTTTTTATTGTTAAATATAAACTGGTATTCTACATAAAAATATTATAAAATAACTATCATTTTTTGTTTAAAATTAAATTTAAATTTAAATTTACAATTATAAAAAAGAAAATTCCGATATTTTAAATTTATTGAATATCTCAAGCATTTTTACAATAGGGAATCGAAAATTAAAATAAGATCAAATTTTTATTTGTAACTCTCGAAAACATAGATTAGTTTGTATTTACTACTTATAGTAATAATTAATTAAAAGAAGTTTATATTAATTTCCGCAAGCTAAATAACAATTCGGACCACTATGTATCGCGAATATTATGGAAAACTCGTCCACGTTTGAACATTCGACGTTTTGTTAGGGTTACGTTGCACATTTTATAATACCAGAACGTTCAAGGTGTTCACACCTTAATATATTGAATTAAAGGGATTGGAAGCTGTAATTTTCTATATCTGTCTACCATACATGTAAAATAGTGATACAGATTTATTTACTTTTTAGAGTATCGATCAAGCCAGTGATGTGATAAATAATCCAAAGAAAAAAAATTTAAACTCGTCATCAAGTCCATTTTAGATCGAACGTCTAAATATTTTTTTTTTAATTTCGTCCTCCTAAATTCCAAATATAAGAGAATTAAACAAATTAGAAATCTAAAAATCAATAAACGTTAATTTTTTAATATCTCGAATACATTTTAAAATTGTTGTTAAGTCGATTTAAGGAATATAAATGACGAATTTGGGTTGAACGGTTTTCAGATTTATTATTTTATCTCTAAATTTATCGATGGTATGCAAATACATTTTAATTGCTATGTTTTGTACGTGTAATACAGAGACTATCACAGCCATATCCCCTAAATAAAGACTTGTTTATACAATTCACGGCCCATATAACAAATACAAGTTGTATTGGCATTAAAATAACAAATATCTAATATCTAAATCATCAAATCGTTTAGTTAAAATCTAAAATATTTGAGCCAATAAGAATTAATTATTAATTTATATACTTATGAAAATTATTAGTTGGCATCAATGACTTTCAAATTTGAATAGGTGTGTGCATATGATACATTATACATTAATATTATTCAAGTTATAATTGGGGCTTTTAAAAAAAATAACGAGTGTACATATTTGCAAACTATAAATAAATTTATTTTTATGTTGTTCACATTGTTTATTGTAATGGTAACATAATTATCGATGTATGATTTAATATTATGATTTAAGACTAATATTATAAAAGTATAAAAAGCAAAAGTTATTAAGATAATAATATTTTGTGAATATAAACATGCGAATTATGCAGTCACAAAAAGCACTCCTCATATTATTGTTATCGAAATACATTTAGATGGAGTGCTCGTATTTGATTTTTATAATTTTATGACAATGGTAAATTTGTTTAAATTTTTATAGCCTGTTATTAAAAATAATAAATTTTATTTACATATTATTTTACGAAGCTTAAATTAAATACTTTTTAAAATACTGCGGTATAACATTTAGACAATAATAATGATTCTTATTTGGCAGTATTTTATTTTTAAACAAGCGGAATAAAATATTATGGTATTAATAATGTTCAATAACAAAAATTATATAAAAGCCTAAGTCTAGGTAATAAATTTGATAGTTAAACTAAATTATGGCATTTTTGAGCTTCGATTATTATTTTCTATAAGGTGGCAAGTATTCCCTATCGGGTACCGCTGGCTTGTTGTAAGAGTTAACAAACTGTTCATCAGAAGATGTTGATCCTGGGTATGAAGCTATAGTTGGTGATGAACCTGGTAAAGTTGAGCCTGGACCATATGATCCCACCGAACTTCCTTGACTTGGGTATGGTGTTGTGCCTACACTTCCGAATGAACCTTGAGAGCTTGGTCGACCATTATTGCTTGCACCAGAAGAAGGATATGAAGATGGACCTTGTGCACCTGGGTAGCTACCTGGACGTTGTCCTGGGAAAAGTGCACTTGTTTGCGATGGATAACTTGCTGTTGGGCCTTGTGCACTTGTCTGTCCGGGATAGTTTGCAGTTGGTCCTTGTGGTCCAGACTGTCCTGGATAGTTGGCGGTGGGGCCTTGTGAACCGGAAGATCCAGGGTAGTTGGCAGTTGGACCTTGTGGTCCAGATTGACTTGGATAGTTCGCACTTGGTCCTTGCGGTCCATATT